CATATATTAAATTTACTATAGATCGGTACCATTTCGATACCACTTCGATATCGGTTCGATACTTTTCGGAGCCCTATTCAAGACTTATATGTTCAATATTACTTTTGTATCCATTACTGATATTCTCTTTGTTAGACTTTGGATTCACAAATTACAGACTGTCCGTCGCTATAAATACCTTCAATACTGAACAAAGTTTTTCCACAGTTTTTCCATATAATTTTTCCTTTATCAGTTGTCAATCAAGTTTTCCTCATGTCATTCATTCAAATTTCACATATTAAATGATTATCTCTCCTAGCTATATTAGGTCAATCCATTCAAGTTTGCTCATATGCTTGTTTTTTTTAAATGGTATACAGTGGTAAGATAAATTTCAAGTTGCAGATTCATAGTGGTCAAAAGATCTTTTTGTTTTCATCAGTTCTCAAATAATTTAATATTTAAGAATTGATTTTCGTTCAAATATTGTTAAACTTTCCAAGTGCAAGGTTAACTATCATTTTCAAAAATTTTTGCACATTGTTTTTTCAAGGTATTCAATTTTTTTAAATTATTCTTTTTTGTTTTAATATTGAGTACTGATTTTTCTTCCCTTTTTCTTTGCTTCAGGTTTGTTGTCATTATGTCCAGAAGTCGTCCCATTACTTGTTTTTCCAATAAGAATCCATTGGAAATTACAGTCAACTACTTGGAAGAACATGCCAAATATTTGCAAAGATGTTTGTGAGGTTGGAACAAAATAATCTTCTCTTGGAACAAAAGTTGAAAATGGTCTTAGAGGAAATAATTACACTTAAAGAAAAATGCACCAATCATCTGACTGTAAGTCAAACTTGATCAGGTATTATTGATGTCCTCTGATGTCATATTGCTGAACTTGAATCCAGAAATAAAGAATTAGAAAGAGAACTCCTTCGTTGCCAAAGAACTTCAAGTCCTAATTCAAATTCCTGGGTTCACATGGGTGGTCCTTGGGAAAAACATTATTGTTCTCTATATGATAGAGATGGCATGCTTATTGAATATGAATATAAACTTAATCCAAACTGGGTACGATTAAATCCTGGAAGAAATCCTGGGTCTTATCCTCTCAGTTATTAAGAAGAACAAGAAAAAAAGAATAATAACAACAATAATAATGTGTAAAAATTTTGTTTTTTTTTAAATAAAAAATTATTTTTGGATAAAACAGTTGCTACTGATAAGAAAAATAACACACTGGAGCTAGAGTTCTGGCTGGTGGCAAATAATTGGAGCTAGGGTTCTGGCCAGTTATTTTGCTGTCATATTTTTTTTTTATTTTATTAGGAAATCTTGTACCAGCTTCTTTTAATCAGTCTTTTTCTTCTTTGAATTCAATTAGAGGTTTGTCTTTTTGACTTTGATGTTTTGTTTTGTTCAATCTAGCTTCATGAATTTATTACAAGAAATACAGTAGTCACTGAGTATGCTTTGTGGGCTGGCTGTGATAAAAGAGGAAAGCTTAGTGGATCCTCTTTATTGCACTGTATTTCTTGCTTGCATCTTAGTTTTTAGATTCCTTCCTCCATTTAAGAATTCAATGATACTTGTGTTAAGGCAAGTTGAGGACTGGGCTATCATGGTATCTATGTTCACATTATATAGCCTGGGTGCTGTATTTCATACAGTAGCTGAAGGATACCTCAAGATTTTATGTTTCTTATTAAAAATGTAAAAGTAATAATAATAATAATAGTAAAATAATAAAGTTTTAAAATTAAAAATATTTTATGTGAATAAATAAAAATAAGTAAAGTATTTATACAAAATGAATTGAAAGAATAATATTAATACTTTGATAATTTCATAAAATGCTATAGCCTCAAACATCATCTTGCTACAATTTTGCACTTCATGACTGACCAGCCTTTAACCAGCATATGTTATGGATTCCTAAGAATCAAGATCATCTACGGCTATGTAATGGCTTTATGAAATTACCCAAGCAAATAATAATATTTTCTCAAGTCTTAAAAATAAAGAAATAAAATAATATGTGTATTACTAAATACTAATAGAGTATAAGTAATAATCAAAGGAATAATGAAGGAATTATAAAAAAGGTAAGGGTAATTAAAAGGTGTAAGGTAATTATTAACTTCACTTTTGTCTTTTATAATTTTTTATAAAGGGATGGGAATTAACATGATTCAATTATGGTGCAGTCAGTTTCTTAAAGGACATATATACTATTAGGATAGGTAAATGCTAATGGGAGTTTTATGACATTGAGGTGTATATTAATTACATCTCTTTTTCTTTGTAGAGGTACCACCATTACATGACTATTCGCAATAATCAGTGAAGATCGCGGGTTCATCAATGTCTTCTCTTTTATTTTGTAGGTCTTGCAGATTTGAATTGGGCTTGCTTTCCTCCGATTCTCACAGCTCCTTCGACCATGACGTCCTTTCGCTGCTTCTGGATATTTCTTTACCCTTCTCTTACAGCATTCTAACATCCTTGTTGCCAGAACTGCTGGAATTCTATCAGTAAGTAAATCCCAATTCTTTTTCTTTGGTATAGTCTCAGTTTTCCTTGATCCTTTTTTTTTCTTTTAAGATCTTACTTTGCTTCATGACATTTCTCCACGTTTGTCAGCGTATAGGTCTTCTTCATAATACAGTATGTATGAAGTTGATTAGTGTATTAATTGGGTTTTGCATGAAATAGAAGTATCGGCATCATCGGGTCATCATCATCATTATTTGGAGTAGAAGCTATGTTGTCATCACGGTGATAGTAGTAAATGTGCTCTTCTTGGCAGATGGAATGTTATGTATACGTCAGGTCAATGTTACCGGTGGCAGTAGGATAAGGTATGTAATGGTAAATGGTGGATGGTGTCAAGAGTAATGGGTGGATTTGATAGCATAAGTATATGCCAACAGAGTTTTTGTTCATTTGGTAGGTTATATCGTTGCAGTAATTTCTTGGGAAATGTGATCACGATTGTGATCATGATCATAATTATGACAGCATCGAGATGTTGTATCTGAGGTCATGTATAAACTTGAATCTGGTGCCTGTGATTGATTTTGTTGTGGGGGCTTGTCAAAGCGTTTAGACATTCCTTGCTGTTCTAAATATATATACATGCATATATATTTTAGGCATGCATTATCTGACTTCGTTAGATAAACTTTTTTGTGATCGTGATCATGATCAGGATGGCACTTCAGCATTTCCAATCATCGGTCTTGGTCGTATTCTTTTGTTTTGACATAATTCTGGTAAGTTGCAACGTTTTTTTCTTTTGCGACGTTCTACCATTGGCTTTTACTTTTTCTTACCAGTCTTTCTCGCCTCATGCTTCACATTTGATTTGCCATCCGTGAGTTCTCCTTGATCCTCAGCGATATCCATTGTCCCTGGCATAAGCTACTGGAATCTCGTTGGTAAGTTTTAGTTCTTTGCCTTCTGGTTTCTTCACCATTCTTTTCGCAGATGGTCCTTTCTTCCTTTAGGAACTTGTTCCTTTATTCTTTCGGCGTCATGAATTTTCTTCGTAATCTTCAGTATCCCAGCATGACCCTCAGGACCAACGATTCGCTCCAGATAAGTACTCTTTTTCATCTTCTTTTTCCACAAAAGTGATTCACGAATTTCGATTAATGTTGTTAAAACTGAACATCTTCCGATGATTTCGTCAAATTTAGACTTGTCTTTGGGATATTCTTCCTCCAGCCATCTTAAAGCTATAATTGACTGTTTTCGTGATGTTATAGGAACAATAGGGATGAGAACGCGATATTGTGGCACATCGCGTAATAATAGTGTCAGTGATGATGGAATGATGTAATAATTGATAATAGCATATAATAGGTGTTTACACATTAACAAGGTATATAAATAGGATAGTTTTAGAGTTAGTTTCAGACGACAAGTTCTAAGTTATAGATCAGAGACTTAAAAGTTTCATTTTAGAACACTTCTCTGTTTTGGTACACTCGCACTTTATTAAATAAATGCTATTTCGCTTCGCACAATAAACAAGATACATTCTTTAAAGTATAAACTAAGTCTGTGCCACTACTATAAAGTAAAATGTCTTTGAAAAGGGAGACGCGACATTACTTTTGTACTGTAAGAGAGTGACACTTGTAATCTTGAGATGCACCTAGAAGAAAGAATGGTCAAGAAGAGATTAGCAAGTGCGCGAAAGTCAGTCTATTGTAACTGCCTCGGAGTTAAAGCCTTATCTTATTTTAGTGCCATAATCCAAGCATTCAGATTATCGTCCCGTGAAGAGTGCACCATTTTAGCGACAGACTCGCTGATGATGACAACAGTGGTAAGCCCTCTTAAGTTCTCTTCAATATTCTACAGAAATCTCAGCCGTGTAGAATGTAATATACGAGAAGATAATACGAACAGCCAATATGATCTGATTTGTAATAGATAAACGCATATTTTTAGGTCTACAGGCAAGTATCTCAGCAAGTATCTTCGGGGCTTATAACTTATTGAGAGGTAAGTAGTCTCTTTCCTCTCTTTTCGTTCTTTCTTTCTTTCCTTTTTTATTTATTTATTTATTTATTTATATTTTAATTTTTTTTTTCTAAAACAACAAATACCAATTTGCCATTTCTTCTTTGTGCGCTAGGATGCATCAATCTTTTCGTGATCGTATGGCATCCCAGCCATCGTCTCGCTGAGAGGTAAGTATCTTCTTGGTTCTGGTCTTCTCTTGTTCTTTGTTTCTTCTTTGAATAGGGATGGCGAATTCTCATCATTATGGTATCATTTATTCATTTAATAATAATTTAATTTTTAGGAGAAGGTGCATATACCGCTAATCCCGTGATCTTCATTCTTTAGGCTTCGCTTTTCTTCTGCACAAGCCATTTCAGAGCTTCTATCATTGGGTTTGGATTTCTTTTAGGTCGGGACAATGCTTTTTCCTCTATTTGGCATATACCAGTAGCTGAATTCTTCATAGGCATCGTTGTTTTTCTGAATATCATGGACACAACATCGCTTTTGTCACTCCTGTGAAGATCGAACTTCCTCTGTAGGCAATTTCTCAGGGGTGGCAATTAACGAGCATTCCATTTTTGGAACCTGATTGTCGAATTTGCGTCTAATGGATAAGATGCATCTCACAGTCACCACCAATTTGTCATCTATCTTCCTATCTCAGGAGAAAGATATGGACAGAGAACTAGTAGCAGGAAGATACTTTATATGGATGGACCAATGTGATATACTAAAGTTCATAAGGGTGTACTAAAATTAGTATAGTTCTGAGGTGTATGAGGTCAAGCGAAAGAGGCAATGGTGATTTATTTTATAAAGGTCAAGTTATTTTATTAATAAAGAGAAAAGTTCAACCTTGCAATTCCAGGAGGAATTGGAGGTGTTTATATACATATTTTTAGTATATAATTTAGTACATGATAAATATATGCTATGTGTACTATTTGAGTTATAAGAAAGATACCATCTTCATCAGAACAATTTACTATATGTGTTTTTATAGAGAGAAGTGCTCTGGTGGAGATGAGTGATTAAAGATAAATTAGAGAAATAGGTAATATTTTAGAGCACAAATAGCACGAAAAGCATATGCTTGGAGATAGTAGATCAGATTATTCTAGAATGGATAATATTACAAGGGTAAATGCTACTAAAAATTGAACAAGAGTAATGAAGATCATTGAGCGAAAATCAAGTATAATAGTATGTAATCGAGTATTATGGAAGGATACCTCTTGATATTTATTTTCTAGAAAAACCAGTTCTGCATTGAGTTTTTGAATTTCATTACGAAGGAGAAAATCTTGATTTTGTAAGGAAATGATTTGAGCTTGATGTTCCAAACATTTGCAACCAACAAGGGAACGATCTAAAAATTTAATTTTTTCTTGAATTAATATGATACATCCAACCAAAGGATTTTCATGATTAATAGCATGAGCAATATGATTAATTCTTGGCATTTTGTTTACAAAAAGCAAAAAATAAAAAGGATGAAAAACAAAATTACTTGGAATAACAATCAATTAAATAATGAGAAAAATCCTAAAAATTCTCACCAAGAAAAAATTCAACCGATAAGAAAATTTTAAAAATAGAAATTAAAACAAAGAAAAATTTTATTAACGTGGAAAAATATTTGAATCTAAAATTGTTCTAAATTTAAATTTGGATAAGGAATCATGTGAGAAAATTAAACAATTGTTAAATAATTATCCAATTGGTGCTTAAACAAAATAAGCATATGAATAATCAATGAAAATCCAGTAAAAACCGGATATAAACAAGAATTTATATTACAGTATATAAAATTTGGAAATATTAACACATGAATACTCATAATTAATTAATTATTAATAATAAAAGAATTGATTAACGACATGAGGCCAATTAAAAATTATAGTAATAAAACAAATATAAAAAGAAAGTAACTGGAAAAAACTGGAAAAAAAATTTAAGTAAATTTTAATAATATATTATTTATTTAATTTAACTATACTATTTTATTTTTCTTATATAATATATAACTCGCGAGTCAAATCAAGCTTTTAAAATTCTAACTCGAATTAAACTCAAATTATAAAAATTAAACTTGAGCTCGACTCTTCGAGTTTTATATCGAGTTAGCTCGAATTAACTTAATTTTTTCGGAGCCCTACTTTTATAGGAAAAGAAGACACCTTATCTGAACCCATGCAGATAGCTAATCTTACTGAACAAGGATCTGAGATATCACAAGCTACTGTAGCTTATATCGCTGGTGATATTGATAGTGTAAAATTTAATAAAGGTATTCTTGATACAGGATCAAATATTAATATGCTTGATAGTGATTTCTTTGATTCTCTTGGTTTTGAAATTGATCAAAAAGCCCGATATATGATTAAAGGTGCTGGCATGAAAACACTTCCAATCGGTGAGAAAAAAGGTATCCCTGTTAGTATTGACAATGTAACTAATGAAGGTAACTTTTTAGTAATCAAAAATTTAGGTCATCCTATTGTACTTGGAATGTCTTGAATTAAGCAAGTTGGTGATATTATAGATACTAATAAAGACCAATTTCAAATGATTGGTAATGACAGATATATGTATTTTGCGCCAATTCAAACTGAGCGTATTTGTAGACCCGAAGGGTCATTGCTTTGCAATAATTTAGCAATACAAGATACCGAAGAATGGTATGCTCCCAAAGAGTGGGATAGTTTGGAATTAAAAAAAAAATCAATAATTTATGATATATTAGATAGAACCTGTTACTTATGCCATAAACAATTTCAATATCCATCAAATCTTAAGCAACATTTTTTATGAAAAAATCCATGTAAAGAAAAAATAGCCCATGTAAAGAAAGATGAGATCATTCAAAATCCATGCGAAAAAAATAAAGCCATGCAAAGCCCATGTGAAAAAAATAAAGCCATGCAAAGTCCATATAAAATAAAAATTGATTAAAAATCAGACCTACTATGCTCCTCTATTTCTCTGATCTGAATAATTTTTTCCATCATTTATCTCAAGTTCATGAATTCGAACATATATATTTCCATCTTGAATCCAGCTTTTTATTGTTTCAACAAATAATTTTACAGATTTGCGAGACAAAGTATTATTAATTTCTAGTATTTTTTGTTTTGAAGCTTCAATAAATTTTAGTCGCAATGCATTAATTTCTTTTAATCGCATATTAAATTCTTCTTCAGTATAGATAGGAGGTTTATTTTGTGAAGTAGGGCACTTTGTATTTAACAATGTCTACATATCTTGTAAGGTAGATGATGGTTTTTTTTTGTTGCGAGCTTTGTATTTTTCATAAGTTTCCAATGCATTATGCAGATGGTTTTCAATTTGATTATGCTTTTCTATAATTTGATCTGGTGAAATTGGATTGCGTTTTTGTCTAAGTAATTGATAATATGCTCGCTCTAATATACTTGGTGGTAGTTTGTCTGTAATTGGTTTATAGTCAATATGAAACATGTTTGATAAAATTTATACAAAAAAATTTAACAAAATCTTTAAAAAATTTGAATTCATATTATAATATAGAAATTCTTACAAATTTGAACAAAAATTTCAATAAATTGATCAAAAAAAATAATAGAATTATAATTTTATTAATTTATGCGTGTATTTTTGTAAATTCGGATGTGACATCAATGTCACTGGCGCAGTAAAGTGGTACAGTAATGATTATATTCTATATTTCCTTTTTTTCTTTTGAGGGCAACTGCAGAAATTGAATTTAGATGAGGAAGTAAAGCTTTGAATTGGAGGTTTATCAATTTCTGTTTCAGAATCAGATAAGTTATTTTTACTATAACTGGCTTTATTATTATTTTTTTCGATTAATGGGATACTCATACTATCGATTACAATTTTAGCGTAAAAATTATTGATTTCAAAAGAGAATCCGAAACCTATTTTTGCTTTGCGCATTCATAACCATTCCAGTTCTAATACCAGATCAAATGATGGATTTTTGCGAATTTGAAAGTCTATTACTTCAGTACAATCTAAGTTTCGCCACTTTCCTTTATAGTGAAACTGTAAATCTAAGTCTTTTATTTCTTTACCGATCAATTCATCACCAGATAAACATTCCAACCCATAATCTTCTTCAAGCTTATCGAACAAGCTCTTGCTAATAGTATTGGATTTAGATGTTGTATCGATTAATGCTTTTACTGGAATTCTTCCCTCTACAAGTGATTCTATGAAAACCATGTCAAATATTATTTAATGATACTGTATATTCTATAACCGAAAAAATAACTCAGTAAATAAATAAAATTTGTTAAATATCTATTTATATTTTCTAATATACGTGGAAGAGATATTTTATATATTCGAATTTATCTTCTCCAAAATTATATGAGTCTAATGAATTTTTATAATTATATTCTTCAATATTGGTCAATATCGCTTTTCTAATTCTTCTACTGAAGATCATATTTTTATTTAATAAATACCTTTCTACTTTTACGAGCTCATCAAACGTTATTAATGCATTGTTATATATAAGCTCAATTTCATTGTCATTTATATCCGATTTTCTATGGCATCTGTCTAGCTTCTCCAATAAATCATAGTATTTTGTATTAAAGTTTTTACGCCTCTTATAAAGTTCATGACAAATTTCTTTATATCATGTGCGGTTAATTTGAATACAATTATCTAGATCCTCTAATGGAAGTTTTGAGACGATTTCAGCAATAGTATCTGGAAATGTAAGTAGATTATATATATGCATATTGTGTATTCTCAAATGTATAGATTTTATTAACTATGACTTTTTATTTAATAGATAATCAATGGAGCTAACCGAAAAAAATATACTGTATATGGCAGATGGGTAGGTCGACTTGCTTTCCTACATTAAGTAAATAAAAAATCTCAAAATGAAATTAATAGAATTATCACATCATTTATTGGAGAGTCAAAGACTTGATGCCCGGCATCATCATAATCTTCCAGTTCGGAAAAAAGATAAGATAAAATTATCAGCAGAGCTGGCATGGCCAAAAGCACTTAATGTATCAATGGTTTAGTTATATGTGAGTACATGGGTAATAGGTGTGTGTAGCTAACATTGAATCTATTTCTGCAATCTGAGACCTGAAAGAATTATAGTTATTATTCTTAGGCTGAGATGTCGAAGCTTGAGCCTTGAGATCAGAAAGTTTTAACTCTAAAGAATCATCAGACTCGGATTCAGAATCAGAAGTATCACCCTCAGCATAATTTTTTCCTGTATCAAAACGGTCTATCTTATGTTTTAATACAATTCTAGTAAGAAAATCAAGATGTTGTGAAATTGGATTTTGCCCACCATGAACTCTAGAAGTGTGTTTACCTCCAATTTTTCTTAATCTTTTGGCCATAATACCATAAGGTCTTAGAAAATTATTAAATGATTTAATACTACGTTTCCTATTAACACTATAAACAGGATCACCAACTTTCCAATTGTTATCGCATTTTGAATCCAGGTAAGCAATTCTCTCACATGTTCTGGGCTCTTTTCCATAGAGAGAAATTGCCGAGGTTTAGGCTCAGGCTTAGGTTTGGGAGTATCATTTTCTTTATTCTTCGGTTTTTTTCTTGGTTTATTTTTAATATACCCAGTACAATACCAAGAATAGCCAGACTTATATCATATTGGAGGGTTTGATTCATTAGGTTCATAATGGATAATTCGGTGAGTAGTCACTTCAGCAGGTCTCATGCTCAATATCATGATAATATCTGCGAGATCTTGCATAGTAGGAATTTTAGTAGTATCGATATTTTGAATTCTTCTAAGTCCCTTCTCTAAGGAAAAGTGTTTGGGGGTTTTAGGTGGATTGGGTAATCGTTGTTCGAGTTTTTTCTTCTGGATTTTGTTAGAAGCTTCAGTAACATCTGATAATTTGGCATATGTATCAATTTCTTTGGGATCAACTCCAGCTTTTGCTAACTCTTTACGAAATTGCGAAAGACAAGAACTGGATGCCACAATCTCCTCATCAGTATTATTTTTTGTCTTGGCTAAATCTAAAGCATGCAAGTAAATATCCTAGACATCTTCAGTTTTTGCACAATATTGAGCTCTTTCCTTGATAGTAAGCTTTTTCCCCCTTTTGTCTGACACAAGAGCTTCTATTTGATTCCCTTTGAATAGGCGTCGATGAAGAGTCTCTTTTACATCTTTACGAGCTTTCCAATCTGGTAGCATAGTACCAAGCTCATTGGCGTGAGCACATAATTGGAATGGGTCAGATTCTGCAGATAAATTATATTTTTCATGATCTGATCCAAAATAGAGGTAAAGCTATTCGTTTTGGGGTTTCGGGTTTTTTGGGCAGTTGCCATGATAGGTATGTAAATAATATATATTGATAAGTAGATTGTAATTATACATTATCCTACTTATTCTTTCAAATCGAAATTAATTATGTTTTTTCTGAGTATAGGAGGAAAAAATTGGTCAAATCGGATCTGTCAATTTAAATTTTACTAATACATAGATTATTATGAAAAAATTTATATTAGCTAGTTTGTAGGAGCAAAAAATCCCCCTATATCAAAGCTTCTACCTGCAAAAATCACCTTATTCATCTCTTTTTATCGGAATTGGATATATTTATATAACTTACCATAGATATCCATTTTTTTCGAGTTTCATTATACTTTTTTCCCATTATTCGCCATTATAAATACATATATATGATTGGAATTCATCATCATCTTCATACGTCCGAAGCTTAATCTCCATACATTTCAATTTTTTTCGCCTGGGCAATTCCATATATTCCTCTGAATCATCCCCATCTTTTTGCACAAAATCGATTATATCTGCATCTGCTATCATTTTTTCTCGGAATATCTTCACTAAGTCTCTATCCTCTTCAGTTATGGTCATAAACTTATCTGGGTCTTCGCCGTGATCGATGGTCCATTGCCTGAGACGTTTTTCCCACTCTTCTCGGGATATATATCCAGGTGAATATGTTTTCGATTGGGTGCTGGCTTCTTCGTTATTGGTCTTGGGCTCATTATTCACTGATTCAATGATCTTGGGAAAAGGTTCTGATTTATCATCCACAGGTTCTACGTATTCGATCTTGGGAGGCAGAGATATATCGGTAGACTTGGATAACGAAGTAACTGAACTTTCCGGTTGATCTATTATTGAATCGAAAAAAGCCTGGGTCATTTTAGTAACTGGTGGAATAGGAGTGAGTGATATATGATATGGAACATCGAAGCTTTGCTTCCCCTTGCCTTTTTCAATGTGATCTGTATTTAATATCTCAGTTATATTTTTTTCTGGTTCGGATTTGTTGGTGGATATTTCGACTTCAGATATGTCAAAAAATTTCTCAATATCACCTATCGATTCATGTAATTTAGTCACAATTTTGGATTGATCAAGAATATAGACCCATTCTCTTTTTCCATTAATTCATGCCTGCTTTTTCTCAATCTCTATCGGTAGAAGAAAATCTCCAAATTTATTATTACATATTTGATCTTTA